ACCAATAAAATACACATTCCACTAAGTTGTATGAACATAAAGGACAATGTTTAAAATAATCTAACCCAAAAGATAGAAATGCTACATTAAAATTAATTTTTAAGAAGATTCTTATTGTCAAAACATTTGTCTCTTTCAAATCCTCAGCAATAACAAAATTAAGTTCACAAAAGCAGATGCCATCTGAATTCAACTTCAACCATTCCCATTAGAGAAAATCCATTTGTAATGGATCTGTGAGCCTTGCCACATTGGGCAGGACCTTAAATTCAAGGAGGAAAATACTGGCATTTTTCAATATATAAGTTTTCTCTTTCTTTGGAATGTGAACTATATTTAACAAATGCAGATTTAATTTTTGCCTTTGAAAATAAATATCTAAATACTCACTGAGTTTTAATGCCATTTTATGAAGAATGTGTAAGCATTTATTTCAAATAAAGCTGTCATAAGATTAATCAAGACAAGTTTAAGAGACTCATAATGCAAGATTTAAAAAAGACAAGGAAGACTGGGGGACAAAAAATCCTTAGCCAGTAAGTGAGAATGGGGAACAATAAAAACAAACACATCACCCATTATTCAGGCAAATGGAAAAAGGTGCCAGGATCAGTAACTTGAACCTAGCATCTTATGGGGCTCACCCAGTTGATTTGGAATGCTAACTCTAGACTTTTAAGGAAGCAATAAGTGTTCAACAACAGATGATTTTACTGAGGGAATAAAAGGTGTATATTGAGGAAAGTTAGAAGTATCAAACACTCATTGAGTCTTAAGATCTAGAAGATGTCAACTAATTCACCTTTCCATTCAATGAATATCACTGACAGTCAACTCACTTCATCTTTTGGGAGGAAAATGGTTCAGGCAGTTAATGATCTCTTTGATTTTCTGTCATGCATATCTCTGTTATGATGCTACACTGACAGCTTGGGATGTGAAGTTTATATAATTGTGGGAGAGAAGATGGAGCCTGAGAGGGTCATGTTTGTGTGGTAGACCACGGGGGGGGGGAGGGGGGCAGAAAAGCAGAGGAGAGGTACTCATAAAGCTGAACTACTTTGAAATATAGGCGATTATTTTTTTAAAAATATATTTAATATTTTATTTTCCCTGCAATTACATGTAAAAATAATTTTTAACATTCATTTTTAAAATTTTGAGTTCCAAATTCTGTCTCTCCTCCTCCCCCATTAAGAAGGCAAGCAATTTGATATAGGTTATATATGTGCAATCATGTATAGCATATTTACATATTAGTCATGTTGTGGGAAAAAAAAAGACCAAACCCCCCCTGCCCCCAAGAAAAATGAAGTAAAAAAAAAAAGTACACTTTGATCAGCATTCCAACTCCATCAGGTTTTTCTCTGCAGATGGACAGAATTTTTCATCAATAAGTCCTTTGGAATTGTTTTAGTTCTACTGAGAATAGAGAAGTCATCACTGTACAATGGCACAACAGTGCTGTTACTGTGTACAATGTTCTCCATTTCACTTTGAATCAGTTCATCTAAGTCTTTCCAGGTTTTTCTGAAAGCATCCTGCTCATCATTCCTTATAGCACAACTGTTTTCCATCACAATCACACAGCACAAGTTACAAGTATCATCTTTCCATGTAAGAATGTAACCTTATTTAATCCTAATTTAACCTTATTGAATCCCTTATGATTTCTCTTTCCTGTTTACCTTTTTATGCTTCTCTTATGATTTCTCTTTCCTGTTTACCTTTTTATGCTTCTCTTGAGTCTTATCTTTGAAAGTACAATTTTCTATTCAGCTCTTGTCTTTTCATCAGGAATGCTTAAAGTCCTCTTATTTCATTGAATATTCATTTTTAGCCCTGAAGGATTGCACTCAGTTTTTCTGGGTACGTGTAATCTTGGTTGTAATCTAGCTCTTTTGCCTACCAGAATAATTCCAAGCCCTCTGATCCTTTAATGTAAAAGCTGCTAAATCTTGTGCTATCCTGACTGCTGTGCCATGATATTTGAAAGGTTTCTTCCTGGCTGCTTACAATATTTTCTCCCTGATTCTGACCTGGAATTTGGCTATAATATTCCTGGGAGTTTTCATTTTGGGATTTGTTTCAGGAAGTGATCAGTAGATTCTTTTAATTCCTATTTTACCCTCTGGTTCTAGAATATCAGGGTGGTTTTTCTTGATAATTTCTTGAAATATGAAGTCCAGAATATTTTTTTTGATCATGGCTTCCAGGTAGTCTAATCATTCTTAAATTATCTCTTCTTGATCTATTTTCCACGTCAGTTGTTTCTTCCAAAGAGATATTTCATATTGTCTTCTATTTTTTGGTTTTGTTTTATTGTTTCTTGATTTCTCATAAAGTCATCAACTTCCATTTGCTCAATTCTAATTTTTTAAAATTAATTTATTTTGATTTATCAACAATCACTTCCATAAGCTTTTGAGTTTTAAATTTTTCTCCCTCTCCCTCTCCACTTCCCTCCCCAAGATAGCTCAATTCTAATTTTTAAAGAATCATTTTCTTGAGTTAACTTTTGTACCTCCATTTCCATTTGGCCAATTCTACTTTTAAAGGACTTCTTTCCTTCAGTGAATTTTTGTATCTCTTTTTCAATGTGGCCAATTCTGCTTTTTAAGGAGTTCTTCTCTTCAATGTATTTTTGTGCCTCTTTTACCATTTGGCCTGTTCTGTTTTTTTAAGGTGTTATTTTTTCAGTATTTTTTGTGCCTCTTTTACCAAGCCGTTGAATCTTTTTTCATAATTTTCTAGCACTGCCCTCATTTCTTTTCCTAATTTTTCCTTGATCTCTCTTATTTGCTTTTTAAAATCCTTTTTGAGCTCTTCAAGGAATTCTTTTGGTCCTGAGACCAATCCACATTTTTCTTTCAGGTTTTGGTTGCCGCAGTTTTGACTGTTGTCTTCTTCTGGATTTTGTTTTAAGCTTCCCTGTCACCATAGCACATTTTTATGGTCAGCTTTTATTTTTGTTTGCTCATTTTTGAGCCTAATTCTTGACTTTTAGCTTGATGTTAAAGTTGCTTTAGGGTTTTTTCATGTAGCTGTTTTCAGAGCTAGTTATGAGGGGTCTGTAAGTTTTCCGTTCTTCCAAGGTGGTATGATCTTATGAGATGTTTGTTTACTATTCTCCTGGCATGTGCTTCAGTCTTTGAATGATCACAAATACTCTTTTCAGCCCTAGAACTGTGACTCCCCACTTTCCTGTTACTGCAAGCTCTGGTGTGCTAATGCTTCTCCCCACTCTGGGACTGTGACCCAGAACTTCAACCTGTTCTGTGTATGGGCAATGGATGGAACAGCTACACCTAGTGCCAGCAAAGGAACCCTTGTAAACCCCTTCTAACCAGTTGTCTTACCCTCTTACCCTCTATGGGCTGAGAGTTCTAGAAGTTGCACCGGCTGCTGCAGATTCAGTAACCCCCAAGGCCTGCTACTAGTTTGCTGGGGTTTGGACTGTGCTGGACTGAGTTTCACTCTTACCCAGGTAGGACAGACCTTTCCTAATTGTTTTACCTCATCATTTTGTGGGTTCTGATACTCCTGAATTCATTTTGAGACATTATTTAAAATTGCTTAGATGGGGAATTTGGGAGGGCTCAGGTGAACCCTTGCCTTTTCTCTACCATCCTGCCCTCCCATCAAACGTAGGTGATTATTAATGACAATTATGACAAATGACAAAATGTACAATTACAAAAAAGTACAGTTGTGAGGGAAAGAAGGAAAAGGGAGCAGAAGCAGGCCTCATACAAATGGTACATGGGATCATTTCCTGGTTTTTTCTAACTATTTCATTGTTGTGTTTGGGGATATGGTAAGGCATTGTGGCAACAAGACTAGAAGTGCTACATTAAAATTAATTTTTAAGAAGAATATTATTGTCAAAATATATTTTTCTTTTTCAAATCAGCAATAACAAAAATTAAATTCACAAAGTTTTAACTTGATTTAAATATCTTAAAATTTCAGATATAATAGAGATATGTCTGTTATGTTTAAACCTAAGCAGTCAAAGGATCATAAAACCAGCACAAAAAAGGAAGAAAAATCACGGTATTTAATCTGATTTGTTTGAAGAAGCTCATTTTACTATGCAGACCACTGTCCAAACACAACTTATTAGAAATCAATTTTAACACAAACTCATATTAGCATAGCATCATGTGAAAAAGCACTCAATAAACACTGTGATTCTTATGTAAGTAAGGCAACTCATCATTATCATATAAGTATCAATTGTTCACTCTGGAGGTCATCTCTGTTTATTTTTCCTCACTAGCTTATCTGCCTTTGACTAACAATTGTCAGGTTGGTACAGATCAAATGAGATAATATCTTTAAAGAACTTAGCGTGGTGCCTGGCACATAGCAAGTTCTATATAAATGCTTATTCCTTTACCCTTTCTCCTACCTGCCAGGTACCCATGAGTACCTGCACCAAAATACAATTAGTAAAAGTAGGCAATTTTCAAGATTAAATAAGAGCTGAAATAAAATGCTACAGTTGTTTCCTAATTTTATTTGTTGAAATTCTCACTTCTTTCACAAACATGTGTAATTAAGAGTTAGATAAGCAGGTTTTTTACTACTCTGTAACAAGTCCATTCTTTTAAAAGATTAGGCCTTTTTTTCCTTCTGTGGAAGGTGTATAGTTAAGTTTGGTGGCAACTAAAACCAAATGCATAGTTCTTAGCTTTTACCCATGGAAGTTGAAACCACAAAGAAGTGAAACTGATGTGTGGGGTTTATGGGATTAGTCACATTATCTTACAGTTATATTATTTTATAGTCACGCCTTTAAAAATAAAGTTCTCAGTCTTAGCTCCTTCAAATCTCAGATTTAGCCCTTTCATCACATACCTAAATAAGAAAGTATAGAATTAATTGAGGCCTGTGGCTATCCTGGAACATCAGAAATGGCCTTCATTAGGAATGCCCCCTTAAACACATCACATAAGGTCAACATAAAGGGTGAAACAGACTGGTAAGCTCATTACCTGAGCTATGACATCTGAAATTGAGGCACATCCCACCAGAAAACTGTATTTGTGTTTCAAAAGAATGCCTGCATGTGTCCATGCCTGTCACAAAAGAGAAGAAACAAATGTGAACAGATCCAACTGGAAAGACATCTTCGTGTTTATTTAATTATGGATTTTTCTCTTTTCAGTCACTTTTTATTTCTTCCAAATTAGTGACTCTGTGACAGATCTATGATTTAATCAGGATGGAGACTCTGGTGTGGGAATTCCCTCTATCAATGTAACTCGTTGCTGGTTTGGTAGATGTGTACCAGGAAGTTGCCTTGGGAACAGAGAGGTGAAATCATACAGAGTTGTATCACTAACGTCAAAGGCAGAATTTGAGTCCAGGTCTTCCCAATATTAAGTTTAGCGCTCTATCCACTTAGCAACACTGCCCCTACTTCCTGGAAACATGAACCTAAGGTTAAATTACTTTTATATTTAATTTATGGTTTACAAATATTCCTACTTATCAATTATCATTTTAATACAATAAGCAAACAAGTAAGGAAATTATTTAGGTGTCAGTATGCTAGAGAACTTAATAAGACTTATACAGTGGTTAGGTCTTCACTATTCAGAAGTAAAAGCAGAAAAACTGAGACAGCTTCTGAATGACATTTATTTATTACACACTATATACAGGACATGGGTAGTTGCTCAAAATGTGAATGCATATGGGAAGAAAGGAATGGAGGGAATGCAAAGGAAATAGAAAAAAATTGACTCTTCTTTCCCTGAAGAGCTTATAACCTTGATAATATTAATATCATATCTCCCTCAATTACTTATATAGTCCAAGTGAAAGCATATTTTAGGAAGAATTAACTAGGTGACTGACACCTTCAGTTTCTTAGTGCACAGATGGCCAATGAGTCAGCATTATAGCTGCTAGGTCAATTCAGAATTTTTTGCTTTTTATGCTTTGTTTAGTATGCTGGGCTATGGTCTTTCCTGGCTAAATGACTCATAACGACCCAGCAGCCAATGACGCTTACTTAAGTCCAATAATGCAATTCCATACTCTGAAATCTTAAGCATTTTTTATTGGGAAATGCTTACGAAAGTAATTAATAACATCAGGAAGGAGTTATGACAGATATTCCTGGGCAAGGAGAGTGAATTATAACCAGCCTGATTTTCTTAAATAAGAGAATGTTAAAAGAAGAATTTGAATTTTATATAAAGCTATGCTATAACCAGGACTCTTTAATTTAGTTCAATATAATTACAATTCTTGTATATTCTGATTTACTGATTAATGGGGAGTCTCCTAGTCTCCTGGCTGCAAGTTTGGGCATAGCCTGACTCTGCATCTGAATGCCAGCATCTTCAAGGGAAGGTAGGACTGAGGTACTATAAACCAAAACCTGATGTGTGAAAGTTGGTGAAGGGCCACAGTTCTCTGTAGGCTTGGATTCTCTTTAAACTTAGTGGCTGCTAGGTTTAAACCTACACTTAAGAGATGTAATATTTTTGCAGCTAAGAAGGTGAAAATTATTACACATTTGATACACATTTCCTGGGTTTTTGTATGCTTGCCTATTCTAGTCATTTTGTTTTTCTTTAGCCTAAACCCTCTCTCAGAACATACAGGTTGTGGGATCACAAGTGTTAGAAATTACAGTATTCACATCTATGAATAGCATCCTGTGTTCTGTCTGGTGGCCTGAAAGCTATCAGTATGATTAATAAGTTTTGTGGTTTTTCAAATATTGTCTCCTCAACAAATATATCAGCCATGGGGAAAAAATTCATTGCATTTCTGTAGGTTTTTTTAAAAGTTGCTATTAATAGCAGTTTTGCTCAGCTGTGTTGTATTCTCCTGGGCATGTGTATATGAAGATGGAAAAAAATACATCCTACTATGGTTCTGTTGTTATATACTTTTCCTTAGAAACACACTCTTATGGCTGAGAAAAACAGGGAGAGAGAATTGGGAGGTTGGATAATTAAGATCTTCAAATGCACTTCTGCCAACAAATCATCCCAACAGATTTGAATTCATCGGATAGCTGTACTGCATTTCATTTGTGGGCAAGAAGCCTTCATTTTAAATGTGGATTTGATGATACGCATTAGAATTTTATTAAAGGCACTCTATTTCTCCAGTGCTACCAATGTAAGCCTTTTTAACTCTTTGAAGGCACAAAAGGATACACTTAAGGAATGCTGGTGGTAGTACTCTAGGGCTCTGAAGGCATTCCTGCACTAAATAAATTTAGATACTATGGAGAACTCAGCTCTAGGAATTCAATCCAACTTTTGATGAAAATACATCAACTATTGCAATGGATGCATTTGAAAATTCACATAAAAACACACATCCAGATGCAGTAATTCTTATGGCAGAGGTTTTATTGAAAAGCCTTAAGTGTGGCAGCTAGGTGGTGCAGTGGAATAGAGCTCCGGCCTTGGAATCAGGAGGACTTGAGTTGAAATCCAGCCTCAGACACTTGACACTTATTAGCTGTGACCCTGGGCAAGTCATTAACCCCGACTGCCTCAGCAAAAAAAAAAAAAAAGCCTTAAGTGCTATAAAGAGTTAGTTTACCACAACTGAAATAAATGTGCCCAAGAAGCAGAAGTATTTTAATATAAGACAGCCATGTATATTGATATAGAACTGTTAGAGATTCTGCCTGACCTTAAATTAAAGAATTTTCTGAAAGGTAAAAAGGTCTCCCTAGACCTTTACAAGTAATAGGCCCTTATAACTGATTCAGAGTATTAAGAATTTTAAGTATCATGGGGATCAGTACAAACATTGTAGTTCTGTGATTTTGAAAATTATCTGTAAGGCTGATTTAAATTAAGTAATAGCCTAAAAGAAGGGTTTATTTTCTGGTACTGGAAGTAATTTTCAGTGGTTTTTTTTCCTTTCCCATGGTTCTGTGCTCTCTGTAATATTTTATGTCTATTAATTAGTAATTATGTCTAATTAATGTCTATTAATGTATAATCTATAAATCTACATATAAAATTTCACGGGAAAACTTGCCAGTATGATGACATGGAAAGCTTGGGCTGTCAAAATGATGAGTACTGAACTAAATATAGTAAAGCTAATTACTGAAGCAATGGCACCCCACCAGTTCACCTTAGCTGCAAGTGATTTCCTGGGCTAAAAGAATGGTATATGTGTTTAACCACATTAGAATACATCTCTGATCCTCTGAACCTAAGACTATTTGAATAGCTCCTTCTAGTTGTTTGACATACCCTCAAACCCAGGAAAAAACATTTTTAAAAATTCTTTTACTAACATATGAGATGAAAAGCATAAAATGAAGGGGTACGAAAGCTTGGCTAAAAGTGAAATGTTTTCTTTACTCACCATGGCATCCATGAAAGGGAAGGCAGCAAGATAAAGGAAAGCTCTTCGAGTTTTATTTCCCACTGATTCATCCACATGGTGCAGTTTATTAATAATATAGTAGCCTAAGTCACTGTAAGCTGCAAGAGTACAAGACAAAGTTATCATTAATGCCTGGAGCTGCTCACAATTTTGAAGCACTCTAAGGTTGGCGAAATGTTTCACACACGTCACTTCCTTCCACCCTCACAACAACCCTGTGAGGTAGGAGCTAATATTACCTCCATTTACAGAGAGGCTGCAACTTGCCAAGGGGCATACAGTTAGCAAGTTTAGGAGGTGGGATTCAAACCCACGTCTTCCCAACTCCAATGGGAGTGCTTTGTCCACTAACCCTCAGTATCTTTCAATTCTCCAACCTGAGAATATGTGTGTGTGTGTGTGTGTGTGTGTGTGTATGTATGTGTGTGTGTATGTGTATGTATATATACACATACAGATATATAAATATATATAATATAGACACATAGGCAACATACAGGAAAAAAATATATATTCCTTTCTACCATGTCACAATTTCTTTTTCATGATGTAGGTCAGTTTGGCTTTGGCCATTTTTCATCTCTTATATTTATATATCTTTTTTTAGGAGGGGCAGATTTAGGTAAGTTCTGCCCAAAAGGTAAAGGAACTCTTAGGATTCCTTTATTTCTAAGATGCGATGATTTCTAATAGGGTTAGTACTTCCTACTATAATGACATGTGGGCATTCTCACAATATTACAGTAGAAAAAAAATACAAAGGCGGTACCTTTGTTTAAACTTTATGACTGATCCACGTTTATACGGCTCCTGGAAAGAGTCATCTTCATTGTTGTTCAGTTGTATCTAACTCTATATTACCCCATGGTCACATGGACTCCACAGGAGTGGGTCTGCACTCCCTTCTCTAGTGTGTCCTCATTAATTAGGAACTGAGGCAAATAGAGGTTAAGTGACTTGCCCAGGGTCACATAGCCAGTAAGTGTCTGAGGCCATCCTTGAACTCAGATCTTCCTGACTCCAGGACCAGTGCTCTATCCACTGAGTCACTTAGCTGCCTTGTAGATAGTCATCTCAAGAAGAACCAAATAGCTAGAGCAGAGAAACATAAGCAATGTTGCATAACACTCTTTTGTGATTTTTTTTCCCCCTTTCTCTATTCCCAGTGGCAAACAAAAAGAAACGAGAGAGTCAGGTATATGAATCGTGGCAAATGTTCTAGAGGTTACAAATGAGAGTGCCAAGGTTGGACACATTTCTTTCTTCCTATAGAGGCCTATACTCTAAATAATAACCTTTTTAATTCCTTAAGCAACAAGTTTTCCTGGAGACCATGTCTTCAGGTGTCTTCTCATAAGACAAAATCCTCCCTATGAATGCACTGTGGCCTCACTTCACATCTAGTGTAGCTGTGTTAGGACCTTTGTGAAAACCATGGAAGGAGCCAGTAATCCAGAAGTAATGCCAATTGAGGAGAGCAGCAAAGTACAAAGAAGGCAGAAAGTGGGTATTAGTTTATAGCTCATACCCTGGTGCTGCCTTATTTCTCAGAAATTTAATCCTGCTTGCAAACAATGCCTGTGCATTATAGTGGAGTAGATAACATGAAGAAACAGAACAGCTGGAGTAACTGAGAATAAGGGAAAACCACTATAAAAGAGGTTATGGAAATACTTGTTTTATTCCATAAATTACAAATAAAATAAATAAAAATAAAAAAATAAAAGAGTGACATAGCAGATCTGGGGCGATAGAGGGTGGCAGAATGATAGAGTATTCTAATAGGAGAAGATTTGGCTAGCAGAAGATGAAAAAAACAGCACACATTATACCCATTTTACTACAGAATGTTTGATAGAGAAATACAGTAATTCTCTTCCTTTCTAACAAAAGCCATAAAACAATTAAACGCAAAAAGAAAAAAAAATCCATTACATGAAAGATATGCTTTACAGCAATGGTTCTCAAACTTTTTGGACTTGGGACCTCTTTACACTCCTAAAGACTGTTGAGGCCTCCAAAAATTCTTTTATGTGAGTATATCTATTAATATTTACTATATTAACAATTAGGACTGACATTTAAAAATATTTATTAATTCATTAAGCAATAAATCCTTTCTATTTTAACACAACATTTTTAATGGAAAATAAATCCAAAACAAAAAAATTGATGAGAGGAATGATAGTTACACATGTTTTTACAAATCTCTTTAATCTCTGGCTTAATAGAAGATATCTGGGTTTTCATATCTGTTTGTGTATTTAATCTGTTGTGATATGTTGTTGCGGTAGAAGCATATGAAGAAAATTCAGCCTCACACAGATATGTAAGTTCAAAACGGAGATTTTAACAGGCAAATAATGTCTTAGTATTATTATGAAAACAGTTTTGACATTCTGGATCTCCTAAAAGGGCTTCGGGGACCCCCATGTGTCTGAGGACCATACTTGGAGAATCACTGCTTTAAAGCAACTTTAAAGGTACATGATAAATCAGATTAAGGTTAAAATTTAATACCTTTTCCTCTAATCCATAACTTTTCTCTTTTCATTTCATATTCTAGGTCTAATCTTTTGCATAAATTGATAGAATACTCCATTTTAATTCTCCCTATTCATCTTAGTATGAAAGCTAAACCTTCCTGTGTTTTGTACAGTCTCTCTAGGATTTGGGTTAAGTTGGCAGCCAAATCCCTGCAGATAGCTCCCCTCAGCTTCTATTTTCCCAGAATTGAACCCTTCCCTCCAGCTACTAAAGGAAGAGATTTGAATCACCGAAGATTGAGGATTAAAGTCAATAGCATTTAAATGTTCTTACAACATATCAACACTCTTTTGTTAATTGCCTCCTATGTTCCTGGCACTGACAATAAAAGGACAAAAAATTAATTACTCTCTGCCCTCAAGAAGTCTACATTCTATGGGAGGGACAGCATGTCCCCTAATAAGTATATAATACATACATAATATGCACATAATAAATACATACTATGCACAAAATAAAAAAGGATATAATTTGGCGGGGGTAGAGGAATCACTAATAGTCAGGAAAGGCTTCATGGAAGAAATGGTAACTGAGCTGAGGTGGTGCAGTTGATGGAGCGCCAGGCCTGGACTCAGGAAGACTAATTTTCCTTACTTCAAATCTGGCCTCTTACTAGCTGTGTGACCTTGGACAAGTCACTTAACCCTATGTGCCTCAGTTTCCTCACCTGTAAAAGAAGCTGGAGAAGGGAACGTCAAACCACTCCAGTTTCTCTGCTAAGAACACCTCAAATGGAGTCATGAAGAGTCAGCATGACTGAAAACAACCACACAACAACAACAACAACAACAACATGGATTCTAAGAAGTGAAAGTGAAAAGGAAGTGCATCCCAAGCAGGGGGAACAACCCTGGCTAAAGCACAGAGAAGGGAGAAGAATGTAGCAGTAACAAGGCGGCTAGTTTGGATGGATGGTAGACTACACGAAGGAGAATGCTATCTAATAGCTCTGTTAGGGTAGGCTGGAGCCAGGTAGAGAAGGGTTTTTGTTTCCTAGCATTCCTGTATTCTATCCTTAGGACAATGGGAGAGAAAGAGCCATGTTTGGCTCCACAAAGCATCTCTGTGTTTAGCCCAACTCTGGATTCTTGCCCTGGTCCTCCAGGCTTTCCTCATGAGGAAAGAAGCTCTACTTTGTGATTTCTGGTTTTCTCCCACCCATTACTTATTTCTAGGACTGGAAAGGTGTAAATTATTTAAACTAATCTGTATACAGAGCTTATCTAATAGATTTTCAGCTAGATTGTCTTAGCAATAGCTTACAACCTTCAACTCAAATAACCTGCCTCAATAAGACAGTTCTTCAGAAACTATTTTCTGGATCTGTGTATCTTAGAGATTAAAAGATTTTGAATGAAATTTAAACAAGGTTTTGGAAAACAAATTTAAATTGGTTCCATGAGATGGCCCACAATCAGCCTATTTGCAGATAAGCCTGACTATTTGTAAGTGGTCAGCTTGGGCGTTTCAGAGTTCAGAAGATAGTGATGGCTTTGAAGCCTGGAGGACTTGGCTTCTAATCCTGGTTCTGTCAGTTGTTACATGTATGACCATGAGCTAGTCACATACCAATTGCTAGGATTTATATGGCATGTCAACGTTGGTGAAGCACTTTATAAATATTACCTCATTTTATCCTTACGACAACCATGGGGGTTAGGTGCTATTACCATCTCCATTTTACACATAAGTAAACTGAGGCAGACCAAGGGTGACTTGCCAATGGTCACCAAGCCAATAAATGTCTAAGGCTGAACTCATCTTCCTGACTCCAAGTCTAGTGCTTTATCTATTCTGGATCTCTGTTTCCACATATACAAAATGGGAATGAGGTTAGACTAGATGTCTAAGGTTTCTTTCTGTATTAAATTTATAATCTTATGATCCTAAATGGGAAGAGCCCTTTAAGGCCATTCAAAACCATTAGGCTAGCTAGCTTTGACTTCAGGCAAGCAAGAAAATAATTTTAATTTAAGATGCTAACTAATTTTGTTCTTTATTTGTCTAACTCAGAGCAAAGTTCTCAGTGACTATCTTACTAATCAAAAAACTTAAGATCTTAAAGCTCTTCCATCATTCTGTTTTCTCTTTCTGGGCAGGATAAGTGGTGCTGATTTCATATATGTATTGCTAACGTATTTCTTTCAAAAATCACTAACACCATACTTGCAGCAGGGTTGACAGTTCCTCTCACTGAATGGGCCGGTTTTTCTACTTGCAAAATGGGACATACACAGCATACACCATCATCTGTGTGTTACACTATGCAAATGCTTAGCCTGCCAGGACATTTTCCACTGCCAAAATAAAGTCAATGTCATCTAAAGCCTTTAAAGCTGAGTCAATGGAGGGATAAAACCAAGTTTTCCTACTGCGTCATATGATGCCATTTCTAAGAAGAGCATAATAATTCAAGCCAATCAATTTAACAAATACTTAAGTACACAGTTTATGGAACGAAGTTTGTAAGGAGCTTGAGGTAAAAATATATAAAAAAAGTTTGTGTCCCAGGGGCTTTGACATATGACTAATAAATTTTAGATTAGTGTGGTTATAAGGCCAAGAAGACCCCAAGAGAATATAAGGAATTACTCACTAAGAGTTATAGAACATTTCTAGAACAACTAAGTTAAAGAGGGCTTTTAAAAAAAAGAGCACCATAGACATAGATAAAAGAGATCAAGGCCTTTGGCTGATGAAGAAATAACATTAACAGATGTTTAGAACACAACACCTTAAAGTTTGAAAAGTATTCATCTGCACCCCCCAAATAGTCCTATGAGGTAGGTAACAGATGCATTATTATTCTATCTTATGGCTGAGAAAAAAAAATTCACCTATGGTCACACAACTAGTGTCAGGGGTAAGATCAGGAACATGAAAAAAAAAGTTGGATTAATTGAGTATGATCAAAATTCTTAGGTAGATGGAGAGAGCAATGTTAGCAATCTAGATAAAGGCCTGGGAAATTAAATATTTGGGATTTGTAATATAATTGCTTAAGAAAAAATAAATGCCCAATTGACACAAGCACTGGCCGACATTTATGGCACAAAGAAAAAAAAAAGAAAAAACCCCACAAGTCTCTAAATCATATTAAGCAGTCTTTGTTGTAGGTCAAATTCAGTTTTTTACTGATAATACTTCAATTTCATTCAGATTCTCCTTAATTATAATAGGAGGTCATATCATATAATTATAGTAACAAAAATTTAAAATCTTCCAGAAAAATATTTTTATTTGCACTATAAAACCAGGGTATTATCTTTATGTGATGTGCTGGTTAGCCAATTATGAAATAGGTGAAGTAATATTTTACACAGGTGCTAAATTTATTCTTTAATTCCCATCTTAGGAATCATCTAGAAGCTTTTAAATTCAGTTTCCTTACCCAGTTAGATTAAATTGTGCCAAATTGTGCAATTAGCCCTGTAAATGGTTTTGGTACATATTTTATAAGTAATGAGCAAAAACTGCTACAATATAAAAGCAGAGAACTGGAAATAGGCAGACTGCATGAACTGAATAGAACTTGGAGATGGGTATTTTGTCACATGTTTCACAATACATTAGGTGATTCAAAGAAAGATAGGAGCTGAAATCTCATAGTAGCGAATGATCATGTAAAAAAAAATAGTGCATACAGACAATAAGCTGCGAGAGCAGTCTGAATCTTTCAAATTATACTAAAACGCTTTTTTTAAAAAAGCCACCATTTCTCAAATCAGCTGGGGACACAGTGCAAGGGCTCCTAAACAAAGATGGGGTGAATTTCTTCCACCAAACTAAGTACTAGGTCCAGAAGTTTCCTGTGTCATTTATGTCATCTATAGATATAGCAAACAGAACACCTCTATCTAGACCACCAACCTAAATCAGAGCGACTACCTACGAGTATTTATGTGGAACATATTTCATGTGAACTTATATATGTACATGATGTCTCCCCTAACAGAATGCCAGCTCCTTGAGGGCAGGAACTTTTTTTTTTTTGCATCCCTGACGTTTAGCACACAGTAGACTTTTAATAAGTACTTTCTGATGCATTAATATAGATCACTATCTCTCTATGACTTCATAAACATTCAAAGTACAGCTGTAGGTACAAAATTCGTCACCCTGTGGCCAAACTGTCTATAAAACCTTTCTGAATGTAGCTCATCTAATCCATGGATTACAGACCCACAAGTTTTTCCTGATTCGCTATAGTCTTCAAGAAACAAAACAAAACAGCTTTGGTCAGTTAAGACCCTTGGGGCTTTTTCTCATGTTTTAAAATCCCCAATGATGTGTGGAATGATAATGAGGGTTTTAGAAAACAACTCTGGGTTGTACCCCACAGCCCCCTATCACATTTTCCTTGTCTGCTTGTCTCTCATACTAACCCATTCTTTTGTTTCTCCTCATGTGATCCAGCAAAGTGTTTTAGGACTTACAGCCTTGTCTTCCAGGATCATACCATTTCATCCAGGTAAACTGTGGGTTCTCTGATAACCAATTCAATTCACCAAGCATTTTCTAATGCTTACTATATACAAAGCACTGTACTAGGGCCTGTAGATACCTAGAAATAATCTCTGCTCACAGGGTGCTTACATTCTACACTCTCACTGGCCCTGAGAAAAGAGACTCAAGGTTGACTCCCTTGACCTGCTTACTGGTACAATGCCTCCATCTTCTCCCCCAGCACACATTTCCCACCTTCAAGCAAGCCTAACCAGATAAGCCAAATGACTTCCTACCAATATTCTCTCTAATTCCTTGTCAGGCTGGAAGCAGACAACCAGGCTACATGAACAAGCTATGAAGACTCAAGTGGATGTGTAATGAGAGCAAACAGCACTCCTAGAAACATTAGCCTGGTGCCGAGTGGTATATGCAATTGATCTAGTGTTGACAGGTATAAATGCTAAGCACTTGAATAAAACCAAACCAAATAAACTCTATGATCTTGTGACTCCTGAATTTAGAGGTGGCAAGGGAACAGAGAGATCACCTAACCACCACTTTGTAAAGGAATAGATCCAGGGAGGAAGTCATTTGTCCAAGATCACAGAGAATAAGGTACAAAAACAGTCTGAATCCTTTAAAGTAAAATGCTTTTTTAAAAGAAGCCACCATTCCTCAAATCTTCTGGGGAAGGGTTAATTCTGAAAGGTGTAAAATGAAGGGAAATATTTTCAACCTCCAGTTCTTTTCTTTTCCACTTATCAACATATTTGTTGTTCAGTCTTTTTCAGTCTTGACTCTTCTTGACTCCATTTAGGGTTTTCTTGGCGAAGATATTGAAGTGGTTTGCCATTTCCTTCTCCAGCTCATTTTGTATCTCTTTTTTTGTGAGGAGGGGGCGAGGCAATTGGAATTAAGTAACTTGCCCAGAGTCACACAGCTAGTAAGTGTTATATGTGTGAGGCCGCATTTGAACTCAGGTCCTCCTGACTTGAAGGCTGGTGCTCTATCTACTGTGCTACCTAGCTGCCCCTCCAGCTCATTTTGTACGTAAGGAGACTGAGGCAAACAGGGGTAAGGTGCCCAGAGTCACAGAGCTAGTGTCTGAGGCCAGATCTGAACTCAGGAAGATGAGTCTTCATGATCCTAGGTCCAACATTCTATCTATTATGCCACCTAGTTGTCCCCAGCACACAGGGGTAGGCAAACCTAGTAGTTAGGGCTTCAGTAAGAAACCCAGTCCCAAAGACTTCCTGAACATGAAGAGGGTCTGGCTATATTGGTCTTCCATTGTTTTTTAGAGGTAGTCAGAGGGGTCTCAGAGTAGTTTTAGGAGGAGGAAAGAGGAAAAGGTAGACTGTCAGGGATGACAAGAGAGCAAGTAAGGGTGGGGGGGGAAGAAGAAGAAGGAATGTAAGGGTTAGTGAAAATAAGCTATAAGTCCATTTACATTTTAGTGTGACTTTAAGACATTTAAGCTTGGCAAATGGATGCACTATAGCTGTAATAAATACCATTAATTTATTTTTTGGGGGGGTCTAGACCTGTGATTTCATCTGTATAGGGGACTCTGGGTGAAGAAATTTCATGGACTGATACAGATCAGCAACTGTTCTGTAACTCATAATCAGAGACTTACCAATGACATTGAAGGACTGATCAGGTGATGTGCCCAGGGATCATACCAGAAGCAGGCTGCAGGTGCTGGATTTGAACCGAGGTTGTCCCTACTATAAAGCCAGCCCTCTATCCGCTAAGTCACATGGATTCCCACAATAAGGACAAAAGGACAAATTCTTTAAGGTGATCGCCATGAAGTGTGAGTCATCATTCCCTTGTGCTTTCTGCCTTTGTTGGCCTTGCCCGATTTCAGAAGGCTTTGGCCAACTCACTCATCATTTATAGAGGCAGCTGGGTGGCACAGTCAACAGAGAGGCAGGAAGATCCGAATTCAAATATGATCTCAGAAACTTACTAGTTATGTGATCCTGGACAGGTCACTTACCTTCTCTGTCTCAGTTTCCTCAACTATAAAATGCAGATGATAACAGCTCTTGCTTCCCAGGATTAAGAGGATTAAATGAGATACTACTTGTAAAGTACTTAACATAGTGTCTGGCACAAAACAGGCACTTAAATAATAAATAAATGACTGCTTGTTGCTGTCCTTTTAATTATGTTTTATTGTTTTTATGGACCTATCTTCACCACATATTTAACCAGCATATGCCTACATTATGCCCTTCATTTAGAAGATTTGGAAGGAAAAAAATTTTCCTCATGTCTTCAGAAGGGCATCAATTTGGGAAAATCTGACTAGTCCTCAGAGGATATGTAGTGACTTAATGGGAGAGTAGAATTAAAGGAAAAAGGATAATGACTATTTGCTGAGTTAGAAACATGATTTTGTCTGTCCTTAAAAACAAAAACAAAACAATGCTAGTAATCTGAATCATGAGGAGCAAAGCAGAGAAAGACACATTTCATTTGGAAATAATAAATTCTGTATTAAAGTACAGGGCACGATTCTGGATTCTTTTATTGTAGAAAAGACGTGAAAAATTAGAGAAAAACAAGTAAAGCACTGGTCAATGCTATTTTAGTATTAAATTGACATGGAAAATCTTTAAAAATTACACAAAAGGCTGGAACAAGATCCTATAAAGAAAGGTCTAAACTAGTAGCAGTGGAGAGTTGTAGTGGAAGGAGGGTCAGCCTTGGAACCAGGACACACTCTCTATCTTTGTGACTATGGATAAGCCGCTTTATCTTTTGGTGTCCAAGGCAAATGGCTAAGGTTAGATAGGAAATCAGCTGCTGATGTGTAGGGGAGGGAGTTTCCACACCAGGAATCTTTCACACAGACAAAATCATAGGTGCTAGGCCTCTTCTCTTTCAGGAAAAAAAAAAAAGGAATTAAAACAGGTTAGCCTGAAAAGAGAATTGTAAGTGTGCTTCCTCTCGTGGGATCATAATGGTGTTTTTCAAATATGCCAATGTGACTATCCTAGTGGATGCTCTTCATGTTTTGGTTAGTAGGGTATTTAATGATGAGTTTTTCAACATTAGCCTTTTCTCCTATGTGGATCACCCAAAAAGTGGGTGCTGAGTGAATGCAAACTCATTTTAGTATTAGCCCAAGCAAAATGTAATTATGACAGTAAATCTGTAGTAGCCTCAAATCACCTGATGTGTTATTTATTTATTTGCTTTTTGGTGAGGCAATGGGGGTTAAGTGATTGGCCCAAGGTCACACAGCTACTAAGTGTCAAGTGTCTGAGGCTGCATTTGAACTCAGGCCCTCCTGACTCCAAGGCTGGAGCTCTATCCACTGCACCACCTAGACGCCCCTGATGTGTTCTTTAACTAAATTTAAATAGATTTTAAATTATCCACTCTTTTGTGTTATTAGTATTGCAGCTCTTCACCTCTAGCATAGTTAATTGAAAGTTGGCTATTCTAAAAAGAAAGGAGATGCTAAGTTTCCATTTCTACTAAAGAAAAGAAAAAATGGACTTAAATTGCAGCCAGAAATATATAGATCAGACTCACAACAGAGGTACATACTGGGATGGATTACCAAAGAAGGTTGTAAAGTCTAGGTTAAAGCTAATATAAAATTCTGTGGTCGGAGAGACAATATATCCCTCCCCCCCAATCTATATTAAAATACAGACTCTTGTGTTTGGCAATTAAAACTCATCACAATTTGTTTCCAAGCTAATTATCCAGACCAACTTCACATTGCTTCCTTTTATATATTCTGCTCCAGGTACACTTGCCTCTTTGCTGCTCCCCACAGACAACCTGCTATCTCTTGCTCACGTCATTTTACCTTTTTGGAATGGTCCCCCTTCTGATCTCTGCCTCTTGGAATCCCGACCTTCTTTCAAGTCTTAGCTCAGTGCTATGGCCTTTTCTGATTTCTCCAGTTGTTAGGACTCTTCCAAAACTACTTTGTATTTACTTGTATTAACTTTTCTATGTATATGTAGAAATATAGCATACATATCTAGCAAAACATAATCTCCTTAAGGCCAAATGTTTAATTTTGTCTTTGTATCTCCAGTGCCTAGCACAATGCCTGGTATAGAACGGGCAATTAATAAATGCTTGGTGAATTGAATTCAAGGAGGAAACACAGCAAGTACAATCTGCTTGCTGAGATTAGAAGAGAGCAAATTTTGGTTATAAGAAAACTTGTCGGAGCAGCTAGGTGATGCAGTGTATAGAGCATTGGCCCTGAAGTCAGGAGGACCTGAGTTCAAATCTGACCTCAGACCAAACACTTGACACTTACTAGCTGTGTGACCCTGGGCAAGTCACTTAACCTCAATTGCCTAAAAAGAAAAAAAAAAGGAAACTTGTCAGGTCTCATAAAAGGGAACATGAAAGAGAATGAATAAATCATCACAATCTTGGACAATAAAGACCATTTAGATCATCAGAAATATTCAAATGTGTAAGGAAATTACAGATTCAAGGGAAGAAATGGCCAGGAGAGTAAAGCATAGGATGTAAGAAAACAATTTCACCTACATTATTTTTAAGTAATTGCCATGGTCAGGAAAAGTCAAAAATATCTTTTATGATAAAAACAAATCCATGGGATAGCCTTTAATATGATGCAGAATCCCTTTCAGTTATATGATTAAATTCATTGTCTTCTCATACATGATATGTTTGAAAATGGAACCCAATTTTAATGTATAAAATGCAGTCATTTTAATGGAAATGACTTTTCTTGAAAGGCAAAAGTTTTCTTGTCTCTAGCTTTAGCGGGAGAGCCTCGAGTTTCTTAGCTATGATTTCCTGATAAACAGGCTCAGACTTCTGACCTCTGAATCTGTTCCACATACTTTTTTGAAGAAAGATAAAGAGGGGAATAATTGGTGCATTTATTTCAGAGTTCAAACATAAAAGAACATTAAAAAACAAAAGGGGTTCTTTGAACTAGTATAGAAACTCCTTTGTTGTATTAAACATGGAACAGTCTAAAATTGAAACACTTTTTGGGAAAAGGCCCAAGATAACATTAGCTGAAGAAACTGATATGCAAATATCTAGATATCACTAAATCACTGAAGCTGCACGTGTATGTGCAAACACTGATTCCAATGAGCATTTAGGACACATATATGGAGACTTGGGCAGGGGACCAAATTAGCGAGCAACTTTTCTGCCAAGGGCTTGTGAGTATAAACAGTTAGCACTGGAAACTGGACTGGATATTTGCTAGGCAAGATGAAAAGCTGCATACTGTCTTGTATGCTGTCCTTGGCATGGGAGCTGTGACACATTAAAAAAAAAATAATAAGAAAGATCTACCATAAGAGGTGGCATTGTATGCTTTTAGACATCCTACTCATAATACACTAACTGGATTAAGGGAAATGCTGTCTCCTTTAGTTAGAGTTCATATTCACAGTTCCTGCATACATCAATGCTAATTTTGAAGTAAACAATGGATTTGTAAAGTGTTAGTCACAGGTCTTTGTGGTCAATGGGGTTTTATAGATGTGCCAATCAATTTCCATGTTGAATGAATGGAGCTGGATTAAAGCCAAAGATTTCAGTAATCATATCTTTAGGGATTTTATCACCTCCCAAGAAGCCAGCTAAAGTAAAGCTCTTATCAGAAAAACCTTGATAGATCAAGGATGTGGTTAAATTGCAAAACAATCATGCACAAACAGGGATGTTTAGTGTTATGCAAAGACCACAAGAGGGTAGGCCTAGGTAGGCCTTGGAAGAGGTTTCCAGAGTCACCTAGTCCAACCTATCTATACCTGACAAAGAACCTCTTCACATCATAACAGATGAGTGTCAAGTCAGTCTGAAGACTTCAAGTGATGGGGAGCCCACTTTCCTTTAAGGTAGCCTGTTAATGCTCTTAGATAACTCTAATTGTTTGGAATTATTTCTTTACATTGAGCCCCATCAGCTTCCCTGAAACTTCTGCCTATCACCACAGTCCCATTCCTCTTCTCTGAGGCCAAACTGATGAAATCTGACCCCTCTCCCATATGACAGCACTTGAAATATTCAAATACGGCAAAATCACTCCCCTCAAATCTTATTTGTTCTTTTAGACTAAATACACATGACCATTTCCTTCAACTCATTCTCATATAGCTTTACGAGGTCCCTTACTATGGTGGAACCCTCTTGTGGATGTTATCTAGCTCTTCAATACCTTTCCTAAAATTGTGCTCAGAAGTTAATTCAATACCCCAGCAGTGGTCTGGTGGGAAAAGAACACAGAAGGACTATTTCCTACTATGGTCTGGACCCCATGCCTCTCTTAATACAGCATAAAATCATATGAGTTTTTTTTTTCCACTGCTGCTCTTTTGCATTATTCACACTGGGCTTGCAAGCCACCTTGCCTCTGACCCCCCCTCCCCATTTTGAGCTCCAGCATGATGTTTTGATGTTCTACTGCAAAAAAGTTTTAACAGATCCAATATAAATGTGTCTATGATAATTCTCATGTTAATTATGATCACTGCCTTATGCAAAAGAAATATTTTTACATGATTAAACTTGTTCCTGATCCAGATACAATGAGAATGTAACAGGGCATACTTGTTTTAACCAGTTACCAGTACCTTAAACAAAGAACTTATGTTTTTGTTAACAGCAAACAGTGTCAATCTTAGTTGAGCATAAATATGCATGAAGTCACAGAGATACTTGCTATCTCACTGATATACTAAGGACCAATGAAAAAGCTGAATAGAAATCACAGGTTCCCTGAGAAAAGAAGGGATTTCTGTTTCTACAGCTTTGGGGTAACTCTGGAGATGAATGCAATTTCTATTGGCAATTACATTTACATGGGAGGCATAAGGTATTCATTATTTTATTTATATTTATTACTTATCATGTGAGATATTTATTATTTGCATATTAAATAAGATGAAATTATACATATACTATAAACATGTTAAAATAAAGTTTAAGGTAAAAGGAGCCATGGCCACTGAATACACTGTAAAGTAAACTGGGGGTATCTTACCTATCAAAGTGTGAAAAACAGCAGCTATGGCACCTGCCACCACCATGCACAGAACAGCCTTGGTCCTGTCTCGTTTGCTGTTCACAAATACCAGACCCACATTTTTAAAGTCACTCATGGGGCCTGTGAAGAATTTCATCAGGGAATAGGCCAGTCCATAGCTGGCCAGCATTTCGACTGCATCCTCCTTTACAGCAGCAATACCTCGGTTCAAGGCCTGCAAGGACAGGAGGGAAAATAAAGAAAAGCAAACATTAACACAGCAGGTTCAGATACATAACTTGAATTCAAAGGAAATTCAATTTCTAAAATAAAACTTAAGTAGACCACATTGTTACAGGAACAATTAGTATCATATATTAACCACCCTGTGAATCTCAATTTTAATTTGATCAACTACATTGTTTTAAGATTTCAAGGATGTATGATTTCATTTGTGGACATTTCCTCTACTGGCTCAGATTTCAACTCTTTTTTTTTAGATAGTTTTTACTTGCTAGGGCCAAAAAGTTCATCACAGGTCAGCTAAAATTGTGATGAGTCTCCATGAACCTAGCTAGGCTGGTCCTCAGACAGCAGACGTAACGTCTATTGCTAGGCCCATATGTGAAGTCTTTTCAATTGGTAAGATCTGAGAGAGCTTGGTTTCCGAGGTGCTGATCTGAAATGCAGAGGGAGTTTCACTCTAGGAGAATTCCTTCCACTGGTGAAAATCATGGCTTTGGTCCCATAGCCATTAAAGAGAGAAAATATCAGAGCTGAGAAACAAACCTAAGCCTCCTAAGAGTAAACACATAATAAATACTTGCTGACTACCAGTCTAGTGCTTATTCTAGTACTGAGTTGACCAAGCTCTGGTTCTTGGCATGAAATTTCAAATTTGTGAAATTCAAATAGGCTTAGGAAATGTCTCCACAGGGCCATCAAATTATCTCTGCGGCTGAAATGATCATTTAATTCAGTTCAAATGGTTGAAATCTAAATCCGTCACCCTGTGATTTTAAAAGACAAAGCCTCTGGGCCCAAGGTTAAGACATCAGCGAGCCATGATTCTTGTTTTGAACAATGTGCAAATGACTAAACAGAACACTGACCTAACCTCATGGGGATGCTCTCTTTAGGGAGTCTTTCTTTTGAAGTTGTAATCTGTTTCCCACTTATCACTCTTTCTCTATTATATACCCAATGTTTGTTATTTAAGTTCAAAAGAAAAGAAATGAATTCCTTTCCTTGCTGTCTTTGTGAAAATGAGTGTTCTCTAGGTAACTTAGGTGGGACAGATTTAATAAAAATCAACCTGCAGTTCTTTACTATACTTAGTACCAGTTACGGATCTCTTAGAGGCTGTATGTTACAATGGATAGAGAAGGAGCCTTGGCACTAGGAAGCACTGGGTTCAAATCCTGCCTCTGACACATACTGGCTATGTGACCCTGGACAAATCACTGAACCTCTCATTTCTCTATCTCTAGCCCACTCTTTAAGACTATGAGTTGGAGGAAATCATTAGTAGAGGAAATGGACTTCCTCCTAAGTGTGCCAACAGATTCATCCTGTAATAGAACTTCTCAGACGTAACAGAAGGATTTAATAGTTTGCTCTAGGAGAAATGTATAACAATTTATAGCCTTACTAAAGTAACTGAAACAGCCACGACAAGCTATTTCTACATATGCTTTATTTGTAAGGCTAACCTCGATTTTCAGAGACTGATCTTAAACACTGGGCTGAGATCTAAAAATATGGGACAGATTTTGCTTGCATACTGTTAGTATACACTTTGCAACAGGTAGAGAACCAAACAGCTCCTGGAGGACTGGGGCTGAACATAATCTTTGGACATTCCCCATTCCCAGGACCGTGATCTGCATAAAGCAGGAGATTAACAAATATTTGTCCAACTGAACCAAAAGGATTCCAGTTTCCTTGGTAGAATATCTTCACTTATTGCATTTAATGAGGAGCAACCCCCCCGACAAGAAAAAGAGCTGTACACAAGTATCTCAAAGAATAAATGTTATCTATGGAGGAACAACACTCTCTAACCTTAGAATAATCAAAGGTAAGGATTCTGGGTAGCTGTTACAATTCAGTATCATCTTCCAGACAAAGCTATTCAGGTTGCTAGCATGTGCTGTGTTCAATTTTTACTTCCAATTTTCTTTGATTTCCTTTAAGCAATAACTTAAAACCTCTACTAGAAGGCTCTCATCTCTATTTCTTAAACAACATACAGCTTGTCATAAAACACTTCCCTGTGTGACTGACCTCCCATTTCACCAAGACTTCTTTTATGTCTAGCTACCTTAAAATCAACCTGAAAACTCAGAAGCCCTGACAACTAACACTTGTATATCGAAGGGGAAGATTGGGAGAGTGAGCTGGTTCTTGTTATGCATCAAAACATACCTACAGGACTTGAGAGCCCACCAATTTAATTTCCTGTTGTATGTCCAACTACATCTAGTTCAGAACAAAACCCATACAACCCATGAAGATTCTGTTCCCAGTCTTTCACAATTCTGGCTGTAATCCCTTTATCCACTTTGTGCACATCCTCTATGGCTCACAGGCAAAATATGAAAAAATGGTACCCTATTTTTTTTTCATTTTATTTTGGCTAGAGTTATCAGCATTATAAGATAATTTTATAATTGCTTAGAATATTGCATATGCTTATGACACCTTCATAGCAACTAAACTAGGGTTTAAAACTCTTCTCTGAGTTTCCATTTCTGCATATGTAAGATGACAAAGTTTAAATAGGTCCTCTTTAAAGTCCTTTTCCATCACTAACAGTAATTCAGTAATTCTTTCTTCTGGGCAAATGATTTTTTTTTCATGCATCCCTCACAAAGGCATTAATTTCCACAAAAGATACATGAATTATTTAGAATACTTTCAGAAAATATATAATAGTGCATTTAAATACTGTAGTGCTAGACTGTCATACTAGCAATTTGGGAGGTCTACTCCTTGACAAAAGGACACAAGTCAACCATTACTAAGGATATCTATAGTTCTCCACTTTCTATTTCTGTTGATGCTACTTGGTTTGGTCCCAAGGAGGCAAGTAGATAGGAAAGCAAGATACACATTAATTAGACTTGATCGGTTGAATCAGTTCAATCTGAAAAAAAAATTCAGCTGACTCAATGACTACTTAGTATAGGACTGTACTATCAGAAGAGACTCAATTAGTATCTTGTACCACAGTTGGAGGAGTTCTCCTGTATGTGAATGCTAGGGGGAAAAGGGAGAGAGACGGAGAGAGAGAAGGAGAGAGAAACGATTTTGTGGCTAAATTATAAAGGCATTAAACCTTGTTTCTGGGCAATATCCTAGTGGAATGCTTTATGGTAAAATGCTTATTTTAACTGGTTTTAAAATCCAAATATTGCTTAACCTGGAAAGAAATGATTCTTAAATTTCTTCCTCATAATCCAGATACTGAAAATGATTAGATGTAATTGTTTTATAATCACAACAAATTTATAGCTCATTGTGTAACTGTAGTTAAATAAAGTAATTGTGGGAAAATGAATTCATGTCAACTGATTATTGTGCATAATAACTTACATGTCACTGCTTTATGGTTTATACAATACTTCCTTCACATCATCTCTATAATTTCAGAATCACAGGATCACAGATTCAGCTGTCAGGGACCTTTGGGGTCATCTAGTCCAATCACTTCATTTTACAGGTAAAGATTCCGAGGCTCAGGGAGGGCAGAACAAATTCTATTACTCCCACTTTATTAGATGAGAAAATTCAGGCTCAGAGAGGTTAAATGACTTCTTGATAGGCCCAGAAAAGTAGAATTCAGAAAGCTGACATTTAAACTCAGCTATTGTGACCCCAGACCGGGCCTTCTCCACTGTGCTGAGCTTTAATTGTATGCAGAGACTATGAGATCCTTACTGGTTAAGTAAGAAATATTTTTGTGTAAAACTAACTTGTTCTAATGGTATGGCTGTAAAGCCATACTCTGCAACACTCTTCCTTTACTCAGTTTTTTCTGCAACAAAATGCACTACAAGAACCCTGAAAAATGAGGAGTAAGAATGGGTATGACATCTTCAAGAGTTTAAAAAAATGGCATAGCTTCTTTTTCCTATTAGTCAATCCAGAAGTCCATATTAAGCAATGCTGTGTGCTGGGGTCTATGGCTATAAATACGAGAATGAAACAATCCCTCCTCTTAAGGATCTTACATTCATATGGGGGAGAGCACAAACATAAGCATACTCAGGAGAAATATTGAAAAAATACAAGGTAGTTATTCAATACAATGCAAGGCCCTAGCAATTGGGTGGTTGGGGGAAATCAGGAAAGAGTTACCATATGGCTGTGAATGATATAATATTCTGATCTCTGAATGATCCAAATTACAAAGAATAATAGAAAGAAGTGTGATGGATCTGAGTTGAGTGTGACACATTAACAATAACTTGCATCTGAGAGGTGGCAAAAGAGACATTATGAAGGACAAGTATGACTGGACTGACCCATCTTTTTCACATACTAAGAAGAAACAACACATGATACATTGGAATCCCTGAAGTAATAACAGTATCAGAGCTTTACGTGGATCTTGCAAGGAGGACTTCTGCAAAGACGTGGACAAGAATCATACCATACATGATGAAAATATGGTTACAATTTGTATTGCTAGAGAAAGTACCTACACACTTATGAATAAATGGGTCAATACTTCAGGAAGTAATTAGGAAGCACTGTGTTCTTCCCAATGCCACTTCTCTGCCAAATGAACCTTGGCTCATCAAATCACCCCCATCAACCCCTCCAACTAAACATGACCTCTGACTATGCCAAGAAAACGAATGCATAGATTTTTGCCGTTTAGTCATTTTCAGTTATGTCCGACTCTGTTCGTTTTTTGTTTTTTTGGCAAAGACACTGGAATGGTTTGCCATTTCCTTATCCAGCTCATTTTACAGATGAGGAAACTGAGGCAAACAGGGTTAAGTGACTTGTCTGGGGTCATAGAGCTAAAAAAGTTTCTGAGACTGATTTCAATTCAGGTCGTCCTCACTCCAGGTCCTGCACTCTACCCATTGTGCCACCTAGCTGCCCTAAGCACATCGATTATCTATTAAATACCTATAAGACCCTAAAATGCTTCCTTTTAATAAGTGACTTTTCTTTCACAGAGCTTCTGCCTTAAATGGCCAAATCCACCCTTTATGCAGT